TTCCAAATTTTACCTATTAAGAGCACACACAAACAAGAAGAATAAATACTTACGTGGAGGATAGCTGGAAAATGCCTACCTATAACTTAAATAATGCCAAAATGTATTCCAAAATGATTATACAAATTTACACTCTCACTAGGAGTACAAGACATTTCCTGTTATTCTACATCCTCAATAATACATGCTATCTTCACACTTTAAAATGTTTTGCACTTTGATGGATGCTTAATGCTATTTAACTGTGGTTTGAATTTTTGATTTTTAAATTTTTTTTTAGACGGAGTTTCCTTCATTACCCAGGGTGGAGTGCAATGGTGCAGTCTTGGCTCACCACCCTCCACCACCTGGGTTCAAGCAGTTCTTCCGCCTCACCCTCCTGAGTAGCTGGGATTACAGGCATGTGCCACCATGTCGGGCTAATCTTGTATTTTTAATAGAGACAGGGTTTCTCCAAGTTGGTCAGGCTGGTCTCAAACTCCTAACCTCAGGTGATCTGCCCACCTTGGCCTGCCAAAGTGTGGGGATAACAGGCGTGAGCCAACGTGCCCGGCCTGTAGGAGTTTTTAATATGCCCTGGAAGATAGTCCTTTCATGCTCACGTGTATTGCAGATATCTTCCTCTGTTTTGTGGCTTGTCTGTGGTTTACCTTTCTGAATACATTAAATATTCGATATTCTTCATTTTTTTCACATTCTCTAAGTCTTAGACTGAGAATGGTATGTTAGAATCTCTTTTTATTACTGTGTTACTATTTATGCTTACATCTCCTGTGGTTTCCACTTTATGTGTTTCTATGTTATTGGCACCAAGTTGTTCTTATGTGAATATTATTACTTTTGCATTATGAAGCATCTTTCTTTGGTTCATTTAATGCCTTTTTGGCCTGAATTCTTCTTTACTGCTTATAAAAATACTCTGCTTTATTTTTGTTTACATTTATTTGATATATTTCCATTCTTGACTCCCCTCCTTTTTATCTGCCTTTCCGAGTCACTGTGTTTTAGATGTATCTCTTATATACAGCCTAGAGTTGGGTTTTGCTTTGTAAGCTAGTCTGAAAATCTTTTTTATTTAGTTAGATGAGTTATGTCCGTTTACATAATTGATGTGACTGATATGTTTAGTCTCAGGTTTGTTATTTTACTTTATATTTACTGTGTGTCTTTTACTATTTATTTGGGGTTTTCTTCATCCTGGTATTTAGGAAGATTTGTATTTTTGTTTTAATATTTATCTTTATAGTAATACACTTATGCTAGTATTTTTGGCCCCTCTTTTTTTTCCTTTTTAAAAAATTTATGCTTCTGCTTTTGATTTGCTACCTCTAAAATTATGCTCTGACTCCTCCTTGTTATATGTGAGGCAATCAGAAAACTTGTTCTACTTTCACCTTTTTCTTTCCCTTTTCTTCTCATTTATTTTCAGTGGTGTTATTTCTGCTTTGGCAAACAATATAACATTTTTGTACTGTTCACTTAGTCTTATCCCCTCACCTTTGTTTTAGTCTCAGAACTATAAACATGTTTAACACTTAACTGCCAGTTATTTTGCAGAAGATTTTTCAATGATTTCTTGGTTGGATGAAGCTCAACCTATACTAGGCCTGAGTACAATATTCCCTTAGTTTTTTCACATTTAAAACTTTCTCTAGAACCAGGATAGGCAAACTAAGGTCTGCATCATGTTTAGTAAGGCTTGTCAGCTAGGAATGTGTTTTCTGTTTTTAAAGAGTTGGAAAAAAAAAGAGGAATATGACAGAAACCATATGTAGCCCACCAGTATTTATTTACTTTTTGGCCCTTTACAGAAAAGGTGTGCTAATCCCTGTTCTAGAGCCTTCATACTTTAGTATTTGAAGGATAGCTTGACTGGCTATAAAATCCTTGGCTGACTTCCCTTCGGTTTCTTTTAAATGTTACACTACTGATGTCTGGCTTTATACGTTACTATTTAGAAGTGTGATACCAACTTAATTTCCTTTTCTTTGTAAACTATCTTGAGTATTTTTGCTTGGGAGGTTGGAGAATTTCTTTAATGTGTAATAGTTTTAGCAGGCTGTGTATCTCAGTTGAGAATTGTAGGGAGAATTCCTTTAATATGTAATAGTTTTAGCAGGCTATGTGTCTCAGTTGAGAATTGTAGGTCAGATTTTTCTAGGTATACAGTGAGTTCTTTCCATATGAAAATCAGAATTATTTCAAGAATGTTTTCTAAAAGTATGATTTTAAATAGACCTGTTTCATTGTTTTTTTTCTTTTGGGGACCACAATTAGTCTTATCTTAGATCTTCTTTACTTTTATATCTGCCATTTTCATTCTGATCCATGTACTCTTTTTATTATGTTTCATTTTCTTAGCTCCTTTTATTTCTATTCTATGTTTTTCTTACTATATTTTTGGTCATATCTGTTCCATCTTGGAAACCTGCTAATTCATTTCTGAGACATTTTATTTTTCTTATTTCTTGAGTTTGGCTAATCTTAATTTCATACCTTCCTATTTTTCCATTTTATTATAAGTTTTAAAATTTCTGTTTTATGGTGTTCATTAATATCTGCAAATGCTTAATTATATTTAATCTATGTTGGGAGCATTGTTAAGTTTTTCTCTGCTTCATGGATGTGTTTTGATTTTACTGCTCAGTTTCGAGGTTTTCTTCATAAGTAACTGTGTGAATGCTAGATTATTTTGTAGAGGTTCATGTTTATTTGCATTGGATTTTTCCATTATCAGTAATAACAGATGTTCTTATAGAGGAACAGGGAGTGGTGTTTTGGCGGCTTACTGTGTTTCTTAAATCAGGAGCACCCTCTTCTGTTGCCATAGTGAAATGCAGTCATTTATGTTTCTTTTTTTAAGTAAATGGAGTCTTTTGGGGAAAGGGGTGTTTTCTTGGGATTCCTTTCCACTAGCTTAATTCAGTGGAGCTCTTATCCTGGCCATTTTCTTGTTTTTTCTTCCAAACTGGCTCCCAAGGATACCTCTCCCTTCCAAAGCATTTTCTTCTCTCCCAGAAGCTATGTCTTCCCATGATTATTGCCTCTGACTCCGTGTATTTTTCAGATCCTTTCTTTTGAATTCCCCATAGAATCTACCAGATTTTTTTCTCCACTTCAGCTAGAGCCCTCTCTTTTCAAGCTAACTCGTGATTGATGTTTCCTGTTATTTATGTATAGTGCTGACACATAGTCCATATCTGACTCTCTGCTCTAAAGTCTATTTCCTCACTTACATGTAAAGGATTCTGTGCCCAAGTTATGTTGTAGGCATGAATTTGGATGGTTTTACTTGGCTTTTTTTTATGGTCGTTTGGAAGATTTGTAGAGCAGTTCTAGTTTAGGTGGCTGCCATTATCCTGTGGGAACTCAACTCTATAACATAACAAAATAAATAAGCTAGAAAAATAACATAGTACTCTACCCTTTATCCATGGGGATAGGTTCCAAGACCCTCAATGGTTGCCTGAAAACACAGATAGTACTGAACCTTTTATATATATATACTGTGTTTTTTCCTATACATATATACTTATGAAGAGTTTAATTTATAAAGTAGGCACAGTCAACAATAACAAAAAATAATAAAATAGAACAGTTATTACAATATACTGTAATAAAAGTTATGTGAATGCGGTCTCTCTCTCTCAAAATATCTTAGTGTACTGTACTATGGGTAACTAAGAGCGCAGAAAGTGAAACTAAAGGTAATGGGGGACTAACTGTAAGATAAACAATATAGAAGTGAGAGCTTGATGAAGATAAAAATGAAAACTTGAGTTACAGAAGCATAATTGAAAACAAGATCAATAAAGTGATAGTGGTAGAAACATCAACATGGTAAGGCTTGAGGTAGTTTATCAGAAAAGGGTAGATACTAGTCTGTTCTCACACTGCTATTAAAAAAATGCCTGAAACTAGGTAATTTATAAAGAAAAGAGGTTTAGGCCGGGTGTGGTGGCTCACGCCTGTAATCCCACCACTTTGGGAGCCCAAGGTGGGCAGATCATGAGGTCAAGAGATCGAGACCTTCTTGGCCAACATGGTGGAACCCCGTCTCTACTAAAAACAAAAAATTAGCTGGGCGTAGTGGTGCGCACCCGTAGTCCTAGCTACTTGGGAGGCTTAGGCAGGAGAATCACTCGAACCCAGGAGGCAGAGGTTGCAGTGAGCCAAGATTGCACCACTGCACTTTAGCCATTTAATTGTTTAATTGGCTCATGGTTCTGCAGGCTATACAGGAAGCACTGCATCATCTGCTTCTGGGGAGGCGTCAGGAAGCTTTCAGTCATGGTGGAAGGCAAAGGCAGGGCAAGGCTGGTGTAGGAGGAAGGAGTCGGGGAGGTGCCACACACTTTTTAAATGATCAGATCTCAGGAGAAGTCACTCACGAACAGGTGAACAGCATCAAAGGGGAAATCTGTCCCCATGATACAATCACCTCCCACCAGGTCCCACCTCCAACACTTGGGAATTACAATTTTACATGATATTTGGATGGGAACACAGATCCAAATAATATCAGGTAAAGACACAAAAATTAGGAAAGATGAAGGCAATAGAAACGCAAACAGAGGAGATATTAGAATAAAATGTAAAATTCTCTGCTAAAATTTTGATATGTGACAGAACTACCAGTTTTCTAAGCAAATATAAATAATCAAAATTGGCTCAAGATGAAAACATATCAATAGCCATCTTAGAAAATATTGAAAGTTATCATAACAGGTAACTGAGACCAGAAATCTTGGAAGAAAATCATGTTTAGAAAGAAAAATGACAGATTTTTTTTTTTAAGTTTGAAGTGCTTGTATATGATGACCAAGTAATAGAGATTGGAACATGGGAGAGAATCTGTAGTTATAAATACAAAATTTGGAGTTGATCACTACTGAATAAATAGAATGCATTGCTGGTATGCATTACCAAATACCTATGAGCAAGTGAGGAAAGAATGCGACACACTAGCTGATCTTACTCATTTTCATGTTTGCTTACAGATAGGTGAAAAAGAGTACATCACCTTACCAGATCACCCTTTACTTCCTTGTCAGCCTATTCTTCCTTCAGGAATAACTGCTATCTCTTTATTACAAACTGAAAGTAAGTATAGTACAATCATAAGTACAGATGATTCTGTGAGGTAAAGTAAATAATGCAAATGTGGAGTTGTTTAATGGGTATACAGTTGCAATTTGAGAAGATAAGTTCTGTAGATCGATGGTCATGATAGTTTCACAACAATGTGAATATACTAAATGCTACTGAACTGTACATTTAAAAATAGTTTAAATGGTACATTTTGTTACGTAATATATTTCACTACAATAAAAGAAACAATAGGAATTTTATTTTTTTTTATTTTTTGAGGTAGAGTCTGGCTCTATTGCTCAGACTGGAGTGCAATGGCACAATCTTGGCTCACTACAACCTCGGCTGCTCAGGTTCAAGTGATTTTCCAGCCTCAGCCTCCCAGGTAGCTGGGATTACATGCATGCACCACCATGCCTGGCTAATTTTTATACTTTTAGTAGAGACAGGGTTTCACCATCTTGGCCAGGCCGGTCTTGAACTCCTGGCCTCAAGTGATCTACCCGCCTCAGCCTACCAAAGTGCTGGGATTACAGGTGTGAGCCACCATGCCTGGCCAGGGATTTTATACTTATTATTACATATGTTTAGTCACCACCATTATTTCATTTTAAAATATATTCTAAAATACACATTTGCTGTGTAAGATTTAAGTACAATAATTTTGAATCCCAGATGAATTTACCAAAAGAGTTAAACCAAAGAATATCAGCATAACTACTTGAGTTTTACCTTCTACACATATATGTAAATGCAGAAAAAACACTATTTTATAAATCCCCTTATATATCACTCCTAGAAACTGAAATGACTTCTCTGCATTTTCCACATGATAAATGCTACACTGTAGCAAGGAAAACAGTTTGGGGTAAAATTTATTCTTGCTGCTTTAGAAATTTTTAAGTTTTACACTCCATATTTTAGGATATGAGCTGTCTTTCAGCTTTGAGACATTAATAAATATGAGTTATAATCTCTTTAGGAGAGAAGATTATCAAACAAATGAAACAAGTAAAGGAAGAAAGAAGGTATCTGGAAAGAAATAGAGAAGAACTAGTAAAAATAGATGAAAAGCTATTTGAACAAAGCAAATTAAAGCGGTATCATGGTAAAGTTTGTTACATACCTTTTATCACTATAAAGAAAACAAGTTTTATAGAATTAAGCCTTTTAGAATAAATAATAAAGTTATAAATATTTACTGTTTTACTATTTTAGTTTAAGTGGTACATAGAGGTAAGTTCAATATAGAAAACATGAAATTATTATTCAACTCTATACAATAAATGCTTTACATAGGGTTTTTAAATTAAAATTTGAATATTTTCATAAACTCATTTACTTGTTTATTAATTATTCTATTCATTTATCACATGCCTATTGAATTTGGCCACTAGGAGACACTATTAAGACAGACACAATCTTGTCCCTGCCCACATAGATCTTATAGTCCAGTGGGGAAATGATAAGCAAGTTAAGCATTAATGGTACATCCTGGCCAGTGCAGTGTCTCACACCTGCAGTCCCAGCACTTTGGGAGGCCAAGGCGGGTGGATCACTTGAGGTCAGGAATTTGAGACCAGCCAAGCCAACATGGCGAAACCCCATCTCTACTAAAAATACAAAAATTAGCCAGGTGTGGTGGTAGGCACCTGTAGTCCCAGCTACTGCAAAGGCTGAGGCAGGAGAATGGCTTGAACCTGGAAGGTAGAAGTTGCAGGGAGCTGAGATTGCACCACTGCACTCCAGCCTGAGTGACAGAGTGAGACTCCACCTCCAAAAAAAAAAAAAAGGATACGTCCTGGTGAAAACTATGATAAAGGAATTACAGAATTCTGTGGATAGGAATACAAAAGAAGAACACCTAAATTAGATGGAAGAGATCAAGAGAGGCTTCCAGGAAAAGTGTTGGGATATACTAGGATCTGAAGTATGCTTCTTGGCTCTAAGTCTTCAGGCGTGCTTTTCCCTCTCCCATCTACTTCTCCTATTACCTTAAGGTACCCTCTTCCCAGTTTACCTGACTGTTTCCTATTAGTCATTCAAGATCAGCTTGTATATCACTTACTCTAGAAGCCTACTTTGAGTACTTTGGACTCCTCTGTACTCAATTTTTTGGTATGTGTGTGTGTGTGCCTTGCTTTTAAGTGAATGAATGAGGGAAGTTAAGTAAGTTTTCTTGTAGTACAATTAGAAACAGTGCTTTTAGGACTGGTGGACATAGAAGGATGAGCCTGGATGAAGACAGTACATGATGGTGGCTCGAGAGTTGCTAAGTGATTTGAGAGGGCTTCGTTTTGGGTTGTGTTTGAGGATTGTAAGGATAAAAGTTATCTGTGGAATTAAGTGGTTTTAGGATTCTCAATTTACAGCAAAATTGTTTCAGCATTAGAATGACTGAAGGTTATAGACAATGTCAGGAGATATTTTTGAAGATTCTGCCTCAAAATAATCCTGAAAGTGGTGGCAATGAGTCAGCTTTGTTGTAGTGTTAAAAAAGCAACTTTATCAGGCAAATTAGAACAATGGACTAAAAATCCCAAGACCAGGATTGTAACACCAGATCTGTCTTTCACTTAGACAAGTTATTTCCCCTCTTTTGTGCCTCACTCTTTCTATTTATGAAATGGGAATTATTTGTCACTTCCTATTTAAACAAGAATATTTCAAGATAAAGGTATTTATTGGCCATCAAATATTTATTGAGCCTACTATGTGCCAGGCACTGTTTTAACTGATGAGGATACAGCAGTGAACAAGACAGACATGGCCATGCCCACAAGGAGCTTGCTTCTCAGTGGGAAGAGACAGTAAACAAGTAAGACGATATCAGCTTTGATCAGAGCTGAGAATGTAATTAAAAAGAGCATAGTAAAGAGTGATGAGGCAGAAAAGAGATGGTTTAGGTAGGATTTTCAGGGAAAGTATGTCTGAGAAGATTAACATTTGATTAACAGGGAGGTAGGCACAAAGGGAACACTAAATATCAAGGTCAAGAAATGAGAATGACCTTGTGGTATTAAGGGTCTGAAATAAGACCAGTGCTGCTGAAGGATGGTATGTAGGGAGGAATGTAGACAGGGATAAAATCAGAAAGGTCAGCAAGGAATAGATCGGCCAAACCAAAGATTTTGGATTTTATTCTAAGCAAGGTAGGAAGCCACTAGAGGATTTTGAGCTAGGATTTATATGATTTTTAAAAATATTTTAGATCAAAATGACTGCTGTATAGAATAGTATGTACAGGGGCAAGAATGAAAGCAGACAGATCAGTTAGAAAGATAATGCAGATTTCAGCCGGGCATGGTGGCTCACACCTGTAATCCCAGCACTTTGGGAGGTTGAGGCAGGCGGACCACGAAGTCAGGAGCTCAAGACCAGCCTGGGCGATAATGGTGAAACCCCATCTGTACTAAAAATACAAATTAGCTGGGCGTGGTGGCACACACCTGTAGTTACAGCTACTCGGGAGGCTGAGGCAGAAGAATTGCTTGAACCCAGGAGGCGGAGTTTGCAGTAAGCTGAGATCATGCCACTGCACTTCAGCCTGGGTGACAGAGTGAGACTTCATCTCAAAAGAAAAAGAAAAGAAAAAGATAATGCAGATTTCTTGGTAAAAGATGAGATTGACTAAGGATGTAGCATTAAAGAAGGTAGAATGTGCTAGACGCTAGAAGTATTTTGGCAGTAATACCAGTACAAGTTGCTAAGGGATTGGATAATAGAGCATGAGATAAATAGCCAAAATCTTGAGCTAAAGTTCCATTTAGCTATATAATTTTAATTAAATCATTTTATAAAGTAGAATTTTTAAATTTGAGATTTTTGTTTCTGATAACCTAAAAAAAAAAAAAAAAAAAACAGATTCTGGTATACTGGCATATAGTTTGTGTTACTATTAAGTTTGTATTTAGAATCTGATTGGTGTCAATGCAGTTTGTTAAACTGGTAGTGTTTAATTTCCTTTTTTTTTTTTGAGATGGAGTTTCACTCTTGTTGCCCAGGCTGGAGTGCAATGGTGCAATCTTGGCTCACTGCAACCTCTGCCTCCTGAGTTCATGCAGTTCTCCTGTCTCAGCCTCCTGAGTAGCTGGAATTATAGGTGCATGCCACCACAACTGGCTAATTTTTGTATTTTTAGTAGAGACAGGGTTTCATCATACTGGTCAGGCTGGTCTCAAACTCCTGACTTTAGGTGATCACCTGACTCGGCCTCCCAAAGCACTGGAATTACTACCATGAGCCACTGCATCCGGCTGGTAGTGTCTAATTTCTAATGATTAATCTGTGGATTAATTTTCTATAATCATGGGAAAAAGTAATATATATATTACTTTTATAGTTATGTATACATATGTATATATGTTATATAGTTTTATATATCATATATATTACTATATATAACAAGTATATATATTGCTTGTATAATACATATTACTATTAAATGTATTACTTTTGGATATATTACTTTTATAGTAATGTATATCACTGTAAAATTTTTTTTAACAATATTTCTACACAAGTTCTATTATTATCCAAAAACCATGTTCCTCAGGTCTAATGTCCTCGGTATATAAGGAGATAAGAAGAGGAGAGAAGGAGGAAAATGGTTTAAATTGACATTAGCTGTAGGGTCCTTTCCAGGATGAAAAATTGAATCCTTTAATACTCAAAAGCCTTTGCTTTTTTTTTTTTTTTCCAATAGCTTATGTTGGTTGGAAGAAAAAATACTTGGAAACAAAAAAAGTCACCGCATCAATGGAGGAGGTTTTAACAAACCTTCGAGAAGATTTGGAACTCTACTACAAAAAACTGCTCATGCTACTTGAAGCCAGGGAGATCAAGATGAGACCAAAGAATCTGGCAAGCATCACAGGCCGTAAGGTATTACTAAATGTAATAGAGAAATTAGAGAAGTTCTGTTCAAAACACATGCTTTATAAGTACTAGCATTATTATGTAGTATTATCACAAGATGCATTGGGCTTTGACTTAACTTGCTTAAACAAACAAACAAAAAAAACTCAGCTGGGCATGGTGGCTCACACCTGTAATCCCAGCACTTTGGGATGCCAAGGTGGGAGGATCACCTGAGGTCAGAAGTTTGAGACCAGCCTGACCAACATGGAGAAACTCCATCTCTACCTAAAATACAAAATTAGCTGGGCGTGGTGGCGCATGCCTGTAATCGCAGCTACTCAGGAGGCTGAGGAAGGAGAATTGCTTGAACCCAGGAGGTGGAGGTTGCGGTGAGCCAAGATTGTACCATTGCACTCCAGCCTGGGCAGCAAGAATGAAACTCTGACTCAAAAAAAAAAAAAAAGAAAAGAAAGAAAAGAAACTCATGACACTATGTAATAGGAGGAAGATTGCTGAGGAGATAGAGTCAGCAGCTTTTTTGTTGCCTTTAAGGGGGCCTGATATTTCCTCCCTATATTTTCATCTTAATTTCATTGTAAGACTTCTTTTTCTAATGGTAGCAATAAAGTTGTCAATGGCAAGTAGGGCTTTATATCCCAAACGAGGGAGAAACCTCTCTCTGAATCGTGGAATATATAAATCTTTCTCTTTATCCTGAATTAAGGGATCAACTAGGCCTACCCCTGGATGAGAAATAGTTGCCAAGGAATGCTATAAGCCGACTGACTTTGACTAATTAGGATTTACCTACAGAGGTAAATCTGGGACAGGGTCCATTTCCTGACTCTCTGGGAAAGAGATGAATAGCTCACGAAGTAGGGCGGGGGACTAACATTGTCTGCTATAGTCCTATTCTTTGGTGGTAGTGGCGGGATGGGTTATAATACCCAGGAATTTAAAGAAATTATGAAATTTTGATCAGTTTTTTTTTTTTTTTGAGACAGCCTTGAATCAGAGACATGAAGTTTATTTTATTATTAATTCCACCATATAATTAAACAAAAAAAATTTAAGAGGGCATTTAACAATTTGACTTGGGTTGGATCAATCCCACTTATCCAAAAGTGATTTTAAAATATGTTAACTATAATTAAAAGTAAGGATTTAACTTTAGACAAGATGAATTATTAAAAGTTTACTATTTTAAATAAACTTAATATAAAACCCAAATAGACTCAAGTAATGATTTGTCCATAACAGTTGGTACCTTTTTTTTTTTTTTTTAGCATAGCTGATACTTTATCTTACTGTTTTATCAAGTTGAATATGAGAATTTTTTTCACAAAGGCAGTTTAAAACTCTTAAATAACTTCTTTAGAGAGGACCACTAGAACTCATAAACTTTTCTGGACAAAACCAAAAAGTCTTCCTATTTTAAATAGGTTTTCTTGTATTAAATGAGTTTAAGACATTATTCCTCTCATAGTAACAGTTGTTGGTTTTTATGGTGCTAATTTAACGGTAACTTTAGAGAAAAAAATGTTTTCCAAAATGCAAGAAATCAACAAACAATTTTTCCAAAGCAATTTAGTTTACTTTATGGAATAGGTTATTTTCATGATTTGCTCTTTTGATATTTATCATTTCATAGTTTATGTTCACAAGGCAGTTACAAATAAAAATGTTTATGTTAAAATGTCTATCCACACAGAATTACCTTATAATCCAGATCACTGAGGTGCAGCATGCAATTGACCAGCTTAAGCGAAAACTGGATACTGACAAAATGAAACTCATAATAGAAGTTAAGGTAATTTACATTTTTCCTAATGATTTTCCTAAATTCATATTATTTAAATATGAATAATGTGTCTTCTACTAGATGTTAAGTTTCCTTCCAGGAAGAGACTATGCCTTAGTAAACTTTGTTACTTTCATGGGACCTTTTGTATACCAGATACTTAGTAGAGGCCTCTGGGCATACTTTATTTCATGAGAATTGTGTATGACTAACTACATCATAGGAATTATCTCTGAAGTACAGATGTCTTAAAAAGCTTTTTGTTGAACAGAAAACAGAAGAAGATTATACATTTTCACACAAGTATCCATACAAGCCAGGAAAATAAAAACAATAATCATATGAATGCACTCACTTCTTTATCAGAAACAGCTTTATGATACAGAATAATAGCTCTGTTCTAGAATTAACTTTTTTAAAAAGTTTTAAAAAGAAAATTAGAACTGTCCTGGGTTTCAGATAAGAATAAAAATAAATAAAATTTAAAAATAAAAAAAATAGAATTAGCACTGTCCAATAGAACTTCATGTGATGATAAAATGTTCTATGCCTGTACTGTCAAATTGATAACCACTAGTCACTTACTGATAACTGAGCACTTGAAATGTAGGTTGTGTGACTGAGGAACTGAATTTTAAATTTTATTTAATTTTAGTTAAGTTTAGTTCCATATGGCAATTGGCTTCTACACTGGACAGTGCAGTTCTAGATGACGATGATGATTTTTTTTTTTTTGAGATGGAGTTTCGCTCTTGTTACCCAGGCTGGAGTGCAATGGCGAGATTTCGGCTCACCGCAACCTCCGCTTCCTGGGTTCAGGCAATTCTCCTGCCTCAGCCTCCTGAGTAGCTGGGATTACAGGCACGCGCCACCATGCCCAGCTAATTTTTTTGTATTTTTAGTAGAGACGGGGTTTTCACCATGTTGGCCAGGATGGTCTCGATCTCTTGACCTCGTGATCCACCCGCCTTGGCCTCCCAAAGTGCTGGGATTACAGGCGTGAGCCACCGCGCCCAGCTCTAGATTATTTTTACATGCAGCATTCTCGAGGCTGTATAAGCCCTGGGTCAGCACTGAGAAGCTCAAAACTTAAAATAGAAAAGGAAAAGAACAGAGAATGATTTTTAACAAAGTATCAGTTAAATATGCACTTAAAAAATAATTTGTTCAATGAAGGTAAACTGTTATTCAATATATGGAGATAGAGCCAATATGTAAATTTGTACACTTAACAATAATTGAGTAGGTAGCAAGGAGTAATAAAAATGTCCCCAGAGGCTTGGATTATGACTCCCCTTATGCTGTTTTCTTCTGGAACGCATGTACATTAGATCCTATAATCTTTGTAAATTTTAGCATTATAAATGTCACTCATGATTTGAACCCAAATTAGAATTGTTAGTACAAAAACAGTAAAGACAAGTGAAATAGGAGAAAAAAGAGAACAAAGTTTTCAGCCTATAGGCTGGGGGAAAACATCCTATATTTAACCATAGTGCCTGATAGACACATAATAGACATTATATAAGAAGTTTTATTGATTTCTGAATGATCTCCCCAAAACAGCACTACCTACAAGATTCAGAACTAAGGGACAAAAAAACCTAGCCTGAATCTCTTTCAGCCATATTTATTCAAGATAGTACAGCATAAGTAGTGCTCCTTAAAGGTTAATGTGATATCATCTGAGGATAGTGTTTAAAAATACAGGTTCTGACTTAGTAGGTCTGGGTGCAGCCTGAGATTCTTCATACCCAGCAAGCTCCCAACTGATGCTAATACTGCTGGTTCACAGACAAAACTTGGTACCAGGTGGTTTGAGTTTGAATCCTGGCTGTACCCACTTCACTTACTAGTTTTATATGCTGAGCAAGTTACTTAGCCTCTAAACGTCTCCATTTCAACTGTACAATGGGGATAAATACTAATAAATATCTGACTCTGCAAAATTTTTGAAAAAAAAAAAAAAACAGGTTAATACAGTTAGAACAGTGCCTGCCACAGAATGAATACTGTATTTCCTAAATATTTAGTTCCGATGGGCTAGAAATTACGGGGTTTTTTTGTATTTTGTTGTTTTCACTATTTTCTTTACACATGGAGAACAACAGGTTTTGAAGCTTAAGCAAAACATAAAATTATTTCTCACTCTAGTTTTTAGAACAGTTCAACTGTATTGTCCCTATATACTCTTAAATGAGGTTATCTTATAGCATATCTAGCCAGTAGATAATCATGTTTATTAAACAGCATTCATAATCTATACATTTACTGTAGTAATCCAGTGGGAATGAAAGCATTGAAGGCAAATGAGAGAAGACAAAGCAGTTACAAAAACCCTATTTACATGTCAATTATGATGTACTTTTAGAAGGGTATGATGAAGTTCACTTTTTCAAAAGTAATTCTTTTTATAGAGGAGAAAACAAGCAGTTTCAGATTTACGAACGTTGAAAACTGGCACAGAAAAAAATTGATACGTCTCTACAATCTCAGTAAGGTATGTTAATTTAAAACTTTTATTTATCAAAAAATTAAATATTTGAACAGATTTGTTTAACCATTATTCTCCTTGGCAATGTTTTATATAAAGCATAAGGATTCTCTTTCCGCATTTTGCATGTAGGTGTCACAAAATGTTTCAGGAAATATTAGATGCAATATAAAGAAAAATTATGACTGGTTAGTTATTTTTAACATTCCAAGTCTTTTACGTATTATTTTACAGTACTATATTTTATAATTTTCATTTCTAATAATCTTAAAATTTAAGAGCTAATATGACTACAAAATTTTTTGCAAAGAATAAATGTGTATTAATACTAATATATTTGCATGAAAATAAAGACTTCATTTAATTTGTTCATTATATCTTAATTAAAAGAAATCTGGAAATAGAATAGGGGTTATTGAACTTGCATTCTGAGCTATGACAGATTAGCATCTAAGAATTTAAATTTTTTAATTCATTTATTTTAGATATATGAAGACAACAGTGATCCAACATATACTATGAAAATGGTTGATTTTACTCTCATTGTGTAAATAGGAAATGTAATATTCTCGTAACAGCTTGTTCAATCATCATTTATTCCAATTTACAGGAGGAACATGTGCAGGGAAGCCAGGATTTATGTAAATCTAGAGTTCAAAGACACAGATCTTTAGTCTGTAATTAGCAACTAACAAGGGCAGCACAGTGTTGTTCTTAATTCCCTTGAAAAAGAAAACAAACTTTATTACATTTAGAAAAGTTATTTGTATAAAATTGATCTTTTAGAAAGAGAACTAGTTAAGAAGCTAACCAGTGTCTTTAGATCATTAAAAGTACAGTGCCACTCATGCCTGTAATCCCAGCACTTTGGGAAGCCAGGGCAGGAGGAGTGCTTGAGCCCAGGAGTTGGAGGACCTGCCTGGGCAGCATAGCAAGACCCTGACTCTACAAAAAAAAAAAGATACATTACAGATGTAGAAAAAAAATTTAACCATGTAAATTAGCCAAGAATATATATGTCCATAAATGAAGGAATATGAATAATTAGAAGTATAAGTGAGAGTGAATAGAATCAAGTTCAACTCCAAGTTATTACTAAAAATTTTACAGATGAACCTCATAAAAATAACGTAGTTGGAAAATATTAGGTAGTTCTAACTTACTAATTCAAAATATTACTGTTACATTCTTGTATTTTGTGAATGCATTTAATCTTCTGGATTCTTTTTAAATTCTCATTGTCCAGAGGTTTAGTTCAAGTACCTCAGAGAACATAATACTATATGGAGTCAGGAAGCAGAAAAATTATTTTCATCAGTTTGATGCATCTAAAGAGGAGACACTAAATTTAAGGTTTATTAGGGGTTTGGGGGAAAAGTATAGCACAAAATGCTTTTCAAAGACGGTTTTTAAAACTCTAAGCAAACAATTTCCACTTCAAATTATACATATTTTAAAAATCAGCATTGATTTGTAAGCATATATTTTACTGTAATGAAGGGAAATATGGCATAATAAAATTCTGAGAGCAATTTTTCCTAATTATAGTTTAAAATATCTAATAGATTAATATTTAATAGGTAAGCTGACTTGTTTCTTGCTTTTATGTTCCTGGAAAAATACATTAATATGTATTTTTCAAATTCAAACAATCAAAACATTTCTTCTTTTTTGTTAGTATGCCAATAACTAAAGTATATAGCAACATAACAAAAAATGCAAGAAACTAGATCTGTTTATACTTATCATTTTAAAAAATCTTAATAGTTTGACAAAAGATGTTCATCTCTGAAACAGCTTTGGCTTTAAGACTTCCCACATTTCTTCAGCTTGCTGTTTGGCTACAGCATCTCCAGAGTAGTCAAGACAATTTGCATTCCACATGCCAATGCCCCGTAAGCCATAGTTTTGTATATATGTTGCCTTTAAAGAAATACTCTGAGGGTTATCATACCACACTTGATGAAAGTGGCCAGCAGGATCCTATATAAATAAATTAAAATGGAAATTTAAAGTATTTAGTACAATTCAGCACCTTAGGAAAGGGAAAAATATAAAAAGTATACATTACAGTAAGAGAAAAGTTTCTTAAATCCAATTATTCAAAAAGGATACAATGAAATAAAATTTTTAGGGCATAACACTTTCCTACTGTATAATTCATCGATTCTATGTTTGATACAAATGGTCCCCAACTTACAATGATCCAACTTATAATTTTTAGACTAGTGATGGGTTTATTAGGGTATTTCATTTTCAACCTATATTTTTATGGTTTTATTAGGACATAATGCAATCACAAATCAAGGAGCATCTGTACTTTCTAGGTATTATTGCTTATGGCACTTTTAACAATGTCAACAAGCACACAAAGAGGCCTCCTAATAGATTCTATTTGAGCTTCTCCTGTCCTGCAATTCTTTCCTTTCCCTTAGCCAATGACTATCAGCCAAGATGTGCATCTGAATCACTTATGGAGCTTTAAAATACGATTCCTGGGTCCCACACCACGTGAAACCTATTAAATCAAAATCTCCAGGGTTAATGCTATAACATATATTTGTCTTGTGTTTTAATGTTTCATTAGATAATGCTGGTATGTAGCCAAAGTTAAAGAGAATCAGTGCTCTGGTCCTCTAAAACCAGCTTATGTGCTTATTTGTATTCGCTGTAATTGCTAGAAGGGTGCCTAACTAGGAGCTCTACAGAAGATTTTGTTTAAGATGAATCATCCAATTCAAAAGGTAATGGCAATGGAGGAGAAAAATACATTCTTTTCTAACTCTTACAGATTCATTCTAAAAGTCTGTTAGGTCTGCACTTCATTGGTGACTTAACACACACCTGATTATGAGCCATAAATTAGATTCTAATCTCATGCTCACCTTCTACCCTAAACAGTCCTTCTGCCCAGAATCAACTCTGTCTACCTAGTATCAACACAGTCTCTCCTAGGTGGCACATGAGCTATTGGAAAGGAAAAGGGAAAGGAGCAGATCTAGGGAAAAGTATAAAGGAAGGTGAAAAACATAGGAGATTAAAAAAATAGACCTGCAACTAAAAATAATTTACCTGTAACTAAAAATAATTTACTTATTTTTATACACATCTAGGAAACTGATTAAAGGTATTTCTGAATTGATGCTAGCAATATTTATAGCAGCACTCCTGGAATTAGAATAGTCTCTTAAGATGACGACCACTTTGGAAGAAAATAAGTCACCTGGTAAATGAATACACTGTGGCATATTTAAATATAGATTCATTGTAATTAAGCACTATCTCAGTCTATATCTTATATTCCATTCTTTAACATTTTTAGAACTAGACAAAGCCATGCATACTCTAGTAATAGTTGTGATTCATTATTAAAAGGCAACTTGTAGAAGTTGTACTTAAATATGACAGATTGTTGAAGATTCAGGGGCAAACCCAAAGACATGTACCTTTGAATTCTGCCATCATTCTAGCTAGTACTTTGAGCCTTTTTGATATTAAGAAATTCAAATGTCTCAAAATTGTGAAGGATCAAAGGGCAAAAACTAAGCACATGTAAGACTGATTTATGCATGGTTAAGGCACATTTGCCTTCCAGAATATTGAGTCCAAGATGAGCTGCTATTGCTGAAACAGCTCAAAAGAGTGATTCTCTTCAAACAAAACAGAAACTTGATTCACGTTGCTATAGAATTTTGCAATGAATAAAAAAAGGGGAAGGAAACAGTTATAAGTAGATTGTTTTCTAAAGTGCCATTAAATGGCCTTCAATGCTCACCAAAATGTTTCCTGAATTCTAAGACCTTAACAATGTGTTGGCTGGGTGAGGTGGCCCATGCCTGTAATCCCAGGCCTTTGGGAGGCCAAGGTAGGCAGTATCGCTTGAGGTCAGGAATTTGAGACCAGCCTGGCCAACTGGTGAAACCCATCTCTACTAAAAATACAAAAATTAGCTGGGCTTGGTGGCTCATGCCTGAAATCCCAGCTACTCAGGAGGCTGAGGCAGGAGAATCACTTGAACCTGGGAGGTGGAGGTTGCAGTGAGCCGAGATCATGCTACTGCATTCCAGCCTGGACAACAGAGCAAGACTCTGTCTCCAAAAAAAAAAAAAAAAGCATTTCTTCTTCAGAAATGTTCAAGTAAAAAGAAGTATCACTTTGTCTCTCACTTTAAATCAAAAGGTAGAAATGATTAAGCTTGGTAAAGAAGGCAAGTCAAAAGCCCAAACAGGCCAAAAGGTAGGAGGCCTCTTGTTGCCAATTGCTTGCCACGGAATTAAAGTTTCTGATTACAGAGTCAAAGACAAGTTTACTCATGTAAACAGCAGTCTACATGTTATGCCCTAAAGGAAAACTGATAGACATTCTTGATATCAAACATCTGATTATGAAAATAAACAATTTTGAGAAGTAACAATAAATGTTCATAACTTACGAAAGATCTTACTTTATAGTTATAATAAGGAGCCTGCTGATCTTGATCCCATTGGTTTCCAGAAATAGAACTATTTATTTGCTTCATGATCATTTTGTAGGGCACCTGCCGTCCTGCAGCATCACTACAAGGAGCTCCCCGGAAAGGGACTTTTGCAATGGTACAAACATGATCCTAGAAATGCAGAAGCGCTATGTTACAGATTATCAACTAGGCAATTCTTAAAAGCCAAATCAAAACCAAAAAATTATTTCAAAATAAAACATATACCATAAATAGATTAACTGACTATATATAGGTTAAAATAAGTTTCATTATTAAATGAAAATGTATGATAATCATAAGCTTTCATGGAATTAAGTAAAAATAAATACTTTTTATTTCAAACTATATTTCAGAAATTCTAAAGTGTATATATGTCTCATGAAACAAAAGAGACTCTAAAAAAATATAATACAAAATAAAAATTATGTAACAAATGACCTGTTCTCACCTCAGACAGATTCAGGCACGTATAATCATAACCATACCAGGGAACACCCATTACAAGTTTCTTAGGATTAATGCCCATCTTGATGTAGTCATTATAGCCTAGTCAAACAGGGGAGAAAAAGCATATTTGTTTCTCTTCATATGTCAATGTGTTCATACAAGCTGTGCAACCATTCATAATCTGTTTGTAAAAACAAGTACATTAATATAAAATACTAATAGTGTTTAATGTGATGTTATAAAACATCTTTTAAGAACCATAAATTCTGTATATTGCTTTCTAAACCATTTATCTTTGAATAAGATAAAACATGCCAAATTATTAAGATCATACGGAAACAAAATACTCACAAAATCTAAAAGTTTTACAAATCTTAACTCTATAGCAGTGATGGTCTCAGAGTTTCTTAGAAAGTACAAGTGTTCCACGTTTTACAAATATTCTAGAAGTATGAATGACAACTAGGGATAAGAAATGTGTCATCTATATATAATATAGAGAAAAATAAACAAATCCCTGAAACTATCAGTCAACTATCAGTCCTTTTCTTGCCCAGTGCTGCAAAACATGTTTTTCCACCAAGACATAGTCACTGGATTATCTGGAATGTTGAGGTAAATAACTTTATTACTTTTCAGAGCCTTTAATATTATTGTGTACTATTAAGTAACCAAAAATGGGGTGGGATATGCATCGGTTCCCATACATATTGGTTTATTTAGTTTATTTGATTCATTTATTTATTTATTCACGATACAAAGTATCACTGTGTTGCTCAGGCTGGCCTGAACTCCTGAGGGGCCTCAAGTGATTTTCCCACTTCAGCCTCACAAGGCTTAAACCTTTTATTAATAGAACACAATTATCATGTCTTTACTGAAACACAGTTTGGGAACCGTGAATTAATAATTACTTTGTAATTTTAGTAGAGTAAGTTATTTTTCAACTTTGAATAGATATGTGGCTAGGCACAATGGTTCATGCCTGTAATTGAAGCACTTTGGGAGGCTGAGGTGGGAGGATCACTTAAGGCCAGCCTGGGCAACATAGTAAGACCACATCTATTTTTTTAAAAAAGCCTTTTTTAGATTAGCCAGGCATGGTGGTGCATGCCTGTAGACCCAACTACTCAGGGGGCTAGGTGGGAGGATCACTTTAGCCCAGGAGGTTGAGGTCACAGTGGGCCATCATAGTGCCACTGCAGTCCAGCCTGGGCAACAAAGCAAGACTCTGTCTAAAAAAACAAGGAAATACTAGCTGGGCATGGTGGCACATAACCATAGTCCCAGCTACTCAGGAGGCCAAGGCTGAGCTCAGGAGGTTGAGGCTACAGTGAGCCATGATCATGCCACTGTACTCCAGCCTGGGCGATGGAGTGAGACACTGCTTAAAAAAATAAAAAATAGCAAAAGAGCAAGCAGTTTGACTGATGGGATACAAGATAGTGCAAAGACTACATCATATGAATGACAGGTCAAAAGTACTCAAATTCTAATACAAATATAATTTTTAATTTATCACAGATACTAAAAGAAGTTAATGCCTATCCTATTAATCATGCAATGAAGGTACCCAACCGTAACTATCTTTGTTATTATTTAACACTGATTATTTCGACAAAAATATCCTGTCAAATTCTAGATAAGCCTGTGATTTTATGCAAGAATATTGGACCTGAAATGAGAATACCTGATTGAGCCTCAACTATGTAATACTTAATAGTTATGCAATCATGAGAGGTTAATTCTTTTTCTCTCATCTATAGAAGGTTAATAATAAATATACCTATCCCACAAGATTGTTGGAAACATTAAATGAAAATCAAAATGTAACAACTTTTTGTAAACTTTAAAGCTTTCAATTAAGTGACTTTTAAATATTTGAAGCAAGGTTTACAACTGAAAAAGGCATACAAATAACAGAAATACTAAAAACATAATATTTTAATTTCTAGAATATTACTAATATTAATAAATGATTACGTTTAGAGTCTTACCAGTCAGTGTCTGATTATAGGGAGCATTGGCTGCCGCAGTACATTCTGACCAGATCTGACTTCGTTCATCATAAGACATCACGAAGAGGAAGTCACAAGCATCTGCAATTCCAGTATAATTATAACATCTTCTGTCTATGTTCTTTGGAGACCAAGCAACATCAAAAGTTACCTGTGGAAAAAAATTTTACTACTTTATGTAACATGATCAAATATGCATATTATGTCAGATTTTTAAGATTATATACTTTCTTACCTTATACTACACAAGGAAGAACTGTTTATGGTATATGAATGTAGGGTTTGACACACACAGAACTTGAACCATTCTAAGAAATATTTTTTTGCTTATACTTATAGTTGGACATACAATGACCAGGAGCAGGATACTATATAGAAGATGGCCTTCAAACTCAAAATGTCTTCAAACGCTAGGCTGGTACTTCAGCTGATTAAAAGAAGCAGGTATAATGACAATAGGGTATGGTAATGCCCCTGAGCAACTAGAGAGTAAAGGCACACTAAAAGAATTCAAATACAAAAGTTTTTAAAATATTGTGCAGGTTAAATGTGTCACCTGTTGGCACAACCTAACTGGTTTGTGAGTTTTGGCACCTGATTCACAATCACCTTATATGGTAGGTTTGGCCCAATATTACAGTTAGACAATAGTAGTTTCATGGCCCACAGGTATAGATTAATCAACTAAAAACGTTGAACACATAATTTAAATGATATTATTTTATGGAAATATTCAAATAAGTGTTGAGTAATATATTATCTTTAATTTTTGTGGGGTTTTTTTTTTTTTTGAGATAGAAGAGTCTTGCTCTGTCGCCCAGGCTGGAGTGCAGTGGCAGGATCTTGGCTCACTGCAACTTCCGCTTCCCAGGTTCAAGCGATTCTCCTGCCTCAGCCTCCCAAGTAGCTGGGACTACAGGCACGTGCCACCATGCCCAGCTAATTTTTTTGTATTATTTTCTTTTTCTCGCCACTATACTAATGAGGAATTTTTTTTGTATTTTTAGTAGAGATGGGGTTTCACCCTGTTGGCCAGGATGATCTCAATATCTTGACCTCGTAATCCACCTGCCTCGGCTTCCCAAAGTGCTGGGATTACAGGCATGAGCCACCACGCCTGGCGTTTGTTTTTTTGAGATAGGGTCTCGCTCCGTCACCCAGGCTGGAGCGCAATGGCGCGATCTCTGCTCACTACAACCTCTGCCTCCCGGGTTTGAGCAATTCTCTTGCCTCAGCCTCCCAAGTAACTGGGATTACAGGCATGTGCCACCATGCCCAGCTAATTTTTTTGTATTTTTAGCAGAAATAGGGTTTTGCCATGTTGCCCAGGCTGGTCTCAAACTTCTGACCTCAGATGATCTGCCAGCCTCGGCCTCCTAAACTGCTTATAGGCATGAGCCACCGTACCTGGCCTTATCTTTCATTTCGAATGGTAAGCCAGCCTTCAATAAGAATGTAACTCTTTATGTTTACTGCCTTAACCAAATATTAATTAGCCTTATTTTATGTGTACAAATGTTCTAAAATTTCATTAAAGGTTGTTTTTCCCCCCTTAATTAGGCATTCAGTAAACACTTATTATTTTTAAAACTGAGATACTTTAGGTAACATTTTTAGACTTTGAACAATTTATTCTAGCAAAACTCTTTTTGGGACTTCCTCAAAGTTCTCTTTATAATTCTCTGAGTGTTAGCTCTTTACAGTTATAAGCTTTGCTCAATAATTCTCCAACAAAACATGTTATGAAGTAAAACTTTAAATTATTGGATCCTATTTTATCACTGTCTCCTATTAAAAAATGGGAGGTATGCTATCATAATAGAGAAAAATAAATAACTACATCTAAGCAGATAATTTTCAAATTCATTTTGTAAGAGTATTTTCACCAGGATATTTTCTCTCACAATCTCATTTTTGAGAAGGTACTATTAATATATTAGACAAGAAAGCAAAAGACTTGGGTGGTAATATCAGCTCTGTTATAATTAGGTCTATATTACTGCTAATTGACTTAAAGCATCTGAATTTTTCCCACCTATAAAAATGAAGGTGTAGAAAGAATTCTAGGCATTTATTTCTAGCTCTTTAATTCTATGACCACAATTCTGTAAACTAAATTTATCATCTTATCCCCAAAACTCATTCTCCCCTCTAGATTCTCATTTTTTGTTGTTGTTGGTTACCAGTTTAAAAATTTTGGGGCCGTTTTCTCATTCTTTCTTCCCTTACTTCAAAAATCTAACCTCACATTTCCCTTGGTGGCCTCTCACAGTTGTTCTGCTGCTTCCTTTCCATTAATTAATTAATTTAATACATATTTATTATATACCTGCTGATTTAGGATTATGTCATCATCCAAATCCAAATTAAATGCCTTGATACTGTATTGTTCAGTTAGTAGTCCTTACTGATCTTCCTTTCTCCTAGTTTTACATACTCCTACAGAATAATCTCCCCAAACACCATTTTACATACATAACCCATTACACACAAAATAAAATGCACAGTCCTCAGTGTGACATTCTGGATCTTCCACAATCTGGCCTACCTTTGCAACTGTCCCTCCCACTAATTGACCTAACATGAATATGACATGTAGCCCAAATTGTTCTCACCTCTCAGACATGAAAAGAGATATTCCTACTGCAAGGATTTTGCTCAATCTCTTCCTCCCTGCTCTTTCACTACAGCTTCATCAGGATTGTCAAATAGGTTGTTTCCCACATACTCCACACATCAATTCTAACCTATTAGTAATGACTATCTAGAGAATGAAGGAAAAGTTTCTAAAGCCAAAATCTATGAGGAGAAGGGATATGGTGGCCTGTATGCCAGGTATTTGCTATTCTTAATCTACATTGTACTCTTCTGACAAGTTGAATTCTAAACTGACAAATCTTCCTTATTTGCATAAAACCAGAGAAATGTCAGTCCTCATATCACTTATTTTAGCATATCACTTATTTTAAAATAATTCTCAAATTATTTTACCTGTTATTCTCAAATTCATGATGACCAACTCTACCAGAATCACCTAGAACACTTGGTAAAAATATAGTTCACTAAGCTCTATCCCAGACCTACTGAGTCAATCTCAGTGACATAGTTTGGATCTGTGTTCCCACCCAAATCTCATGTTGAATTGTAATTCCCAGGATTCGTGAGGTAGGACCTGGTAGGAGGTGACGGGATTACAGGAGGAGATTTCCCCCTCTGGTGCTTTTCTCCTGATAAGAGTTCTCATGCCTGTAATCCCAGCACTTTGGGAGGCCCGAGGCGGGTGGATCATGAGGTCAAGAGATCAAGACCATCCTGGTCAACATGGTGAAACCGCATCTCTACTAAAAATAGAAAAATTAGCTGGGCATGGTGGCGCATGCCTGTAATCCCAGCTACTCAGGAGGCTGAGGCAGAAGAATTGCCTGAACCCAGGAGGAGGAGGTTGCGGTGAGCCGAGATCGCGCCATTGCACTCCAGCCTGGGTAACAAGAGTGAAACTCCGTCTCAAAAAAAAAAAAAAAGGAGATCTTGATTGTTTAAAAGTGTGTGGCACTCCCAACTCTCTCTCTTGCTCCTTCTCTGGCCGTTTGAAGCGCTGCTCCCTCTCTGCCTTCCATCATGACTGTAAGTTCTCTTGAGGCCTCCCAGAAGCCAAGCAGATGTCAGTATTATGCTTCCTGTATAGCCTACGGAACTGTGAGCCAATTAAACCTCTTATCTTTATAAATTACCCAATCTCAGGTATTTCTTTATAGCACTGTGAGAACAAACTAGAACACTCAGGATATTTTAAACAAGCACTCTCAGATAATTCTGAGACAGGTTTAGAAATCACTGGTTTATAATACTCATAATGCTCTATACTGGAATAAACTTTTAAGCATTCTGTTAGATATCAAGGAGCTGGTCCCTGTCTTTGAAAACCTGTCTAGCCTATTAGTTCTTAACCATAATCACCAATGAAACTTTTTAAAAATGGTATGTATGCATATAAATACGTTTACTTTTTCTTAAGACCTATGGTTATCCTGATATGTGGCCAGGTTTGAGGATCACTGATATGGGTTCACATTATCCCCTGTTACCCATCTGCTGCTTGGCAAGATGCCTTGTGTTGTTACCTTCTGAGCTAATCATGTTCATTACGGCAGTGGGGAAGCACACTGCCTATTGTCATAGCTGTCACAAGTTCTGTGTAGTTACTCCTTTAAGCTTTACTGGGTCTTGGGTGCAAGTAATTCAGAGACTGTGGGGCGAGCGATATACTTCCCCAGAACTACCTCTACTCCTGGGTTGTTTCTTGCTCCTTCTCTGGCTGTTTGAAGTGCTGGTTAGGACTACTTGATTCTTGTTCTCCCGTTGCCTAATACTTCTAATTGTGCTACAAGGCAAGTAGTGGGGCAATCCCAGTGTTGTATTTTGATGTGAACAGATAATAGATTTAGTGCTTTAAAATTCTTTAAATAAGTGATTTTTGTTCAAAGCAATTTTAAAAAATTATAAAAATTCCTTAAATAAGAACATCAAAGGCTCCAGAGAAATTTTTTAGGAAATAAGTGCTGAAACTCTTTCCCATTGCATAAGATTATGTTAGTTATACCCTCATGAGTATATTCTGATATGGAAAATTTGAGGTTTCGAAAAAAACAAACGAATTTTTACCTGTGATCCCTCAATTTCACGATGGAAAGAGTCTGTAGTTTCCTTGACTAAAGCAGTTAATGCATCATATTCAGGTGATGAACAATTAACTTCTTGCTCTATATCTAGATTAATTCCATCCATATGTTGTATTTTGGCCAAATTAAGTTTTTGAGCTATCCAGGATGCTCTGAAACCAGGATCAATTATATCCTTTAAGGATACATCTCCTGTGGAAGAAGCATATATCATTTGAACATGTATGCAAAAACATTTCATTATTTTGGAAGATTAAGCCCCAATGGAGAAACAATATACCAAAGTAACAGAAAACCATTACTCACAAATCTCCACAAAAATTGTTCTCAAGTTAGAAGCAGAAATTGTGGACCATGATTAAGTAAAGGTCATCATGCTAATTTGGCAGTCACATTTCATTCAAAACCATATAGTGGTTTAATTCTTTTAAAAAGATCTTATTTGTGAAATGAATGAGATAGTATCTAAGATCAATTATAGGATCTTAACGAAAACCGATACACATTAAAGGAATTTTTTGGAAAGCTGGGACTATAGTAAGTGATACAAATTTCTCAATTGCTTGACACATAGATCTGGTAACAACATACCTTTAAGTACCACTCTGGCTCCTTTTGAATGAGCGTAGCACATAAGTTCTGAGTCATATTTTCCAAATGCTGCCACAGTTGTAATCTGTGACCAATCATAAGATTTCCAAGTTTTCTGTCCAACATCAAACACAAAAACCTGCCAGAACAGGGATAAGCACCATCATTTAAATCAAGAATATTATGCTGACCATCCAAACTAGCATTCATCAAACACCACCATGCACCAAACACTATGGTGGCAGTGAGGGTACAACAGTGAATAAGACATAGGGGTCCCAATATAATTGGTGGCAGGGGTAATTAGCCAGGCTGGGAAAGAGGGGAAGTATGGGCCAGGAAGGAATAGTGGAGGCAGAGCTGGAGGCAGAGACAGTGTGGTGGTTGCCTAATTAAATATTTAGTATGGCCAACATCTAGAATTTGTGAAGAGGGCACAGTGAAGGACCAGAGAGTGGTAGGGCACGGGTTAAATCATTAAAGGCCTCATAAGCTCTGTTGAGAAGTTAGTAGTACTACCTTGTTTATCTTGAGGTAAAAGAAGAGAATAAAAGCATTTTTAAAAGGAGAAGGTATGCATTTTACAAAAATATTTTCAGCTGCAGTGGGAAATGGATTAAAGATAGACCAATACTGGAGGCAGAATACAGAAGCTGTTGGAGGAATCCAGGTAAGAGACGATGGGGACCTCAACTAAAATTGTGGAGCAGTGGAGTTAGTGAACAGATCTGGAAGATCCTAAGGAGGCAAAATTGACAGGACTTTGTGACTAATCAAATGAGTAGTCGAAAGAGAGAAGATTGATAATACTCAAGTTTCTGGCTACTGCAGATGAAGCCATAAATACTACATTTACTGTTGTTTGTTTGGTGAAGCTAACTTCTTAAAATAGTACTTAGGTCAAATTCTAAGGCAGCTGATGTTTCTCTGGTTATTTTCTTCTCACAGTTAATTCTGGAAGTACAGAAGCCTCATTAATTATTTTATTCCAAGGTATTAATTCATTGATTCAGCAAATAGTTACTGAATTTCCAGTAAGATACAAGGAGAGTATTTTGCTAGGCTCTAAGGAGATAGAGATTAATGAGAGAGACCAGGTCCAGTAAGGAGTTAATTACTTAATTACAACGGGTATTAAGGACTGTAGGTGTTGCAGGGGGCCATGCCAGCATATTAAGGGGTCCTGCTAGCCAGATGAGGCAGGAAAACTTTTCTGAAGATCACACACGTTAGGGGAGGGCTGAAATCAGCAGAATGATGAAAAAGATGTACTTATGGACAAAAGATTGCATTCTCAACTGAGGGAAGAGAAACCCAAGGGTTGCTATACCTCAGGAGAATTCTGAGATTGTAGAACTGAAAAAAGGTCAGTGTAGCTAGAGCACAGAAATCCTGCAAGTATGTGGACGTGGATAAAACCCTTAAGGTCGGCAGTGGCAAGACTAAGTAGGACTTCCTAGACCACTGAAGATTTTGTATTTTATCTTGGCTCAGTGGGAGTCCATCAGAGTTTAAAATCAGGAGATTTGCATTACAAAAGAGATCACTGGGTCCTTGTGAGGGAAATTAGTGAGGGAGAGGCAGTGCGGACAGTGGATGTGAAAGTTAAACCAGGCATTGCTTAATTTTCTCAGTCTTTTCTTTTTTAACTTTTCAGAATTAACTATGTATAACTCATTTTTCTGCTAAGCAAGTGCCCACTGAAATAATAAAAATTCAGAATGTGAAATTAAGTGGCCCACTGTTTTCAGACTCATATTTCTATCAAAACTTCTATTTTAATTCTGATAATTAAGATTCTATTTGCTTAAAAAAAACTAAGAGCCTGTGATATAACAGAAATCCTTAAAAAAAAAAAAAAAAAAAAAAAAGCTGGGTAAACTAATTGAAAATTGCAGGGTGCTTTGAACTGGCTGCACTATGAGCTACACCATGGTCAAGCCGTGGTGACCCCTATGACCTGCACATACATCTCCAGAAAAGAAAAAAGAATGGCTAGCTCTGCCATTTTCCTTGCCTCAATCGTTCCTGCCTCACCTGATAAGCCAATTTTGTGACACTGGACCTTGGACCTTGTGACACCCTCCCCGCCCCCCCCCCCCCCCCCCGCCCGCCCGCCCGGTAACACCCCGCCAGCTTGCAAAAAAATCACCCTGAACTTTAACTTCTGTAACTTTCCACTGCCTACCCCAAACCTATGAAACCAACTCTTATCCCACCACCTTCCACTGACTTGGGACTCAGCCCACTCATACCCAGGTGAATAAACAGCCTTGTTGCTCACACAAAGCCTGTTTAGGTGGTCTCTCCATTCAGAGCACGCTTAACATTTGGTGCCAAAACCCAGGACAGGGGTACTCCTTTGGGAGACCAACCCCCTGTCCCCGCTCTTCCTGTGTGAAAAGACCCACCTGTGACCTTGGTGCATGAGACCAGCCAATAATCCTCTCACCACCTTTAGATCTGGTAAGCGGTCTCTCCCTCTCTCTCTTCCTTTAAATCCTCCTCCTTCTAACAGAGAAAAGAGACAAGTCTCTCCCTTTCTCTGTCTTCCTTTAAATCCTCTTCCTTCTAAATAGAGAAAAGGAGACAAGTCTTGGAGACTAGTCTCTCCCTCTCTCTTTTCCTTTAAATCCTTCTCCTCAGCAGAGGCAAAGGAGACATTCTTTATCCATGCACTCAAAGACTCCAATGTTGGTCACAGCCTCAACTAGGGAAAATGCTCTTCCCTTGGTGTCTGGGCAATAGCGGGGACACCTGCCTGATCACTCACCCAGGTTACAGCCCAGGACTCAATCAGGGACTCTTACTGAAAACCCTGGTAGCTGCTCACCCCTCGTCTACTCTTTTCCTTAAAACATATCTCCTTCACTATGGGCAATATTCCGCCCTTTATTCCTCAGTCTTCGCCTCTAGCCTGCATCCTAAAAAAACTTAAAACCGCTTCAATTGTTGCCCTATCTGAAACCTAAATGTCTCATTTTTTTCTGTAACACAACCTGGCCTCAATACAAATTAGACAATGATTCCAAATGGCACTTTCAAACTGTCCATTCTGTGAGATCCAGAGAATTTTTGTCCACGAATGGGCAAATGATCTGAGGTGCCATATGTCCAGGCATTTTTTACACTCCAATCCCTCCCTAATCTCTGCTCTCGATGCAACCCGTCCCAAATTTTCCTTCTCTCCCTTCCATCCACCCCTCCCCTACCTCCACCAGTGATTCAGAATCATCCTTGTCCATCAACCCTTCTGACCTTTCTCCTCTCCACCTGTCCAAACCAGAACCTAATCGAAATCCTAACCCCCCACCAGAGCCTCCCTCCTCCACCTCTGCCTCCAACTCACCTCCTTATACCCCTCCTTGTCACTTCTCCACCTCATACCCAGTCCAGCTTACAGTTTAGTCTCGCAACTAACTCCTCCGCCCTTGCCAACAATTCCCCATTCCAGAGGTGGCTGGAGCCTAAGGCATAGTTAGGGTTCATGTTCCTTTCTCTTTATCCAATATTTCCCAAAGCAACCAACAATTAGGCTCCTTTTCATCAGATCCCACTAAATATAAACAAGAGTTCCAATATCTCACCCAGTCCTGTAACTTAACTTGGAGCAACTTAAATGTCATCCTCACCTCTACTCTCACCCCAGAGTAGCGGGACAGTTTACACCTTGGGCCAATCTTACTCTGAAGACTGCTGGCACCTTGAGCCCAGCCTACAGGAAGGTACTAGGACAGTTCCCCGGGAAGATTCCCCAATGAGAATACCAGGCAGGCTCCCCTGGTACAGCCAGGTGAGATTACATGATCTCCTGCCTTGTTGAGGGATTCAAAAAATCAGCACATAAGGTTGTTAACTATGACAGACTTGAAGAAACTACCCAGGGCAAAGATAAAAATCCAGCCCAGTTCATGGTGTGTTTAGCAGCCACCCTCAGGTGATTTACTGCCCTGGACCCAGAAGGGCCAGAAGGCAATCTTATTCTTTTTTTTTTTTTTTTTTGAGACGGAGTTTCGCTGTTGTTACCCAGACTGGAGTGCAATGGCATGATCTCAGCTCACCGCAACCTCCGCCTCCGGGGTTCAAGCAATTCTTCTGCCTCAGCCTCCTGAGTAGCTGGGACTACAGGCACGCACCACCATGCCCAGCTAATTTTTTGTATTTTTAGTAGAGACAGGTTTTCACCTTGTTGACCAGGATGGTCTCGATCTCTTGACCTATGATCCACCCGCCTCGGCCTCCCAAAGTGCTGGGATTATAAGTGTGAGCCACCGTGCCGGCCTGGCAATCTTATTCTTAATATGCATTTTATAACTCAATCTTCTGCCGACATTAGAAAAAAAACTCCAAAAACTAGATTCTGGTCCTCAAACCCCACAACAGGAATTAATTAACCGCACCTTTAAAGTGTTTAATAATAGAAAAGAAGCTGCCTAGCGACAGCGTTTTTCAGAATTACAAATGCTTGCCTCTGCTGTAAGACAAACCCCAGCTACACCCTCGGCTCCAAAACACTTCACAGTGCCCAAACCACAGCATCCAGGCCCTCCTTCAGGACCTCCTTCCCCAGGACCTTGCTTCAGATTCCCTGGCCACTGGGCCAGGGAATGCGCACAGCCTGGGATACCTCCTAAGCCGTATCTCATGTGTGTGGGACTCCACTGGAAGTCAGACTGTCCGACCCACATCATAGCTGCTCCTAAAGCTCCTGGAGCTCAGCTTCAAAGCTCCCTGGCTTAACTCCTTCCCAGATCTCCTCGGCTTGGCAACAGAGGATTGACGCTGCTCAAATGTCTCGGAAGCCCCCCTGGACCATCACAGATGCTGAGCTTTGGGTAACTCTTACAGTGGAGGGTAAGTCTGTTCCCTTCTTAATTGATACAGGGGCTACCCACACCACACTGCCTTCTTTCCAAGGGCCCATTTCCCTTCCCTCCATAACTGTTGGTATTGACAGCCAGACTTCTAGACCCCTTAAAACCCCCCAACTCTGGTGCAGAATCGGGCAGCACTCCTTTACACATTCCTTCCTAGTTATCCCCACCTGTCCCCTTACCAGGCTGAGACATCTTAACAAAATTATCTGCCTCCTTAACTATTCCTGGACTACAGCCACATCTCACTGCTAACCTTCTACCT